GGTCGCAGGGTGTTTATGTGCTCGACATACTGCGAGGGTCAGCAAAAGTAGCCTCCCGGGTCAAGGCGCTGTTCGTACATTTTCCTGAAACACAGAATTGCTAACGGCACCAGCACTTCGCGTGCTTCCAAGCCTTGGAATGTGCGCGAAATACTGCGAGGGCCAGCAAAAATGGGCTCGGGCGAGGATGCAATTTTTGCGCCGTTACAGGACAATAAGTCGGGCTACCCTGGATGGAGTATAACTTAGGAGGACCCCCCACCCTGTAATAGTGGTATAGTAGGAGTAAGAGGACCCTCATATAATCCCTATGATCCACTATAGTAACCATTACTGGGTGGGGGGTCCACCTAAAGTATAATGTTTTTTCGCGGGTCCACATGTCTCCTCATGGGCTTTGCAGTTGTACGGTTGAGATTTACTTGAACCCCAAAACCATGTAAAGTAATGGCCTTTATGGCTGTTACTATGGCTTTAGGGCTATTATTTTACCTACTTTTGGGGCCCAAGTAGGGTTTAGGGTTAGGATGTCAGTTATGTAACTAAGTTGGCTGACACCAAGAAAATGTCGCGCTGCCAAACCCCACGAATGCTGCGCAAAACCCATCCCTGACACGCGTTGTTGTACGCGAGTTTGTCCGCATACCCTATTCAGGGCTATATTTTGGGTATAACAGGCACTTTCATCTTGAGAAATGCCCAATTTTTTTACCTGCTTCTGTGTTCACTCTTGCCACACAGCAGCAATATGTTTTCCATCATTCCAAGGCAGGCTGAGTCGCGGGTCACCATAGGCTCCAAGGACCCATACGGTAGTACCTGGGCCCAAAAAGTACCTGCACGGGAACCCTTTTAAGATCCGAAGAGTTTCGTGTTCATATGATCCAGGGCTTCCCCTCACCCCCCTCCCCCCGATGGTATGGTGTTGGCATAAATTCCCACAGTGGCCTGTATTCTGTCTGACCCTAAACCCAAAACCCTAAAGTGCTGAGGTCATTCAGTGTGTTGGGCTTTCTTGCTTGCATTAAAGTCAGCTTATTCAGATCTTTTGTGTGTAAACAGGGTTTTAGGGTTTAGGGTTACCCTAAACCCTGAACCCCTGTTGTTTCCAGAAATATTCAGATTTCCTCACTTCCCCTATGGTGTGGGTTGTCGTCTTACTTCAACAACTGCCATCATTTGTAACCCCAATATAGCCCCTATGTAATCCCTATACAACCCTTATACACTTTGTGTTGATGAAGTCATGCAGATCTTTGCCCTAAACCCTAAACCCCTAAACCCTAACCCCCTAAACCGCTAAACCCCTAAACCCTTTGCCCTTTCCCCCCCCCCTGTGGTGTCGACTTTCCTCCTCCCACAATTCTAAGCATATAGGGTCATATTGGGATAGTGCTGGGATAATGGAAAAGAAAATGGAAACTACTATGGGGTTTGGGGTTTAAGGTTTAGGGTTTCTATTGGGTATATCAGCATAATTGCAAGTGACCGTCACCTAGAAGTGATAAATTGCCCTCTTGGTGGAATACTGATATGGGATTGTCTGAAGCCTGTACCAATGCAGTACCCTAAGCGTCCAAGTTTGTAATCATCATATACTTACCCAAATCCCATACTATGATTACTTTTACCCAAAACCCAAGTACCTAATTATCGGGTACTTGGACCCTCTGGGGTATTGAGGTTTTGCGTGGGTCGGTCAGGTCTTTGTCCCATTGGAGTGGGTTGTGTCCTCTTTTTTTCTGTGGCGAGGGTGGTAGGTGACAGGCACAATCCTTGTGATTGTTGTTGATATGGAATTTGCCCCGAAATTCCGGACCGCAGTATAGACCCCAAAATACTATGATCCGATTATGGGGACTCCCAAAATGGTACCCCTAATTTATGGAACCCCCCCCCCCCTATTTGTGATTGTTGGCACTCTGCAACATGAAAAAACAAAGACAGTTGCTCAGATCATGTGAAGGGCACTCACCATGCTTTTTGACTCCCGGCATTCTGAGATCTGCAGCGTCAAAGTAAAGATGATGAGAGTTACGACGATCGTGACCAGGACACCCACCATCCTTATGATTGTTTGCACTTTTGAGATTTATTAGACATCTAAAGCGACGACAGTCAAAAGAATGTCGCGTCCGAGGCTTCAAAAACGAGGGCAGACACGAGTCTCGTGAGCTACGTAGACCCTCCAATGTAGTACGTTTTTTGGTAGTCTTAATAATATTAAGCAACAAACCATACCAAGCCTTAAAACGGAACCTCCTACTCTGATTGTGACGGTTCGCACTTTTGAAAGTCTTGGGCTGGGGGGTCAGAGGACCGTAGGGGGGGAGGGGGGGAGTGTTGGGCCCCGGGGGCCGGAGTCATGCACACCTTCCCATGTATTTTAAAAAGAAGGGAAGGCAAAAAAAACTACCTGCCATGCCGTCCCAAGGAGGCAGACGCTCGGCTCCAAAAGAGGGCACTACGAGGCCCAGCTTTGATGCAGCTGGGCGATACCTGTTTGCCACAGTCGGGATACCCGAGTAACCCCGAGGTGTGTGTGTGTGTGTATATGTATACATGGACAAATAGTGGGAGTTTCCCTAAATTAGGGGTACCCACCCTTTTTGGGTGTCCCGATAATAAGGACTATAGTTTTTTTGGATCTATATTGGGGTCCCCTTATTTTGGGAAACTACCTATAAGCAGCCTGTCCCGATCTCACCCCAATGAAGGTAAGGTTAATATTTGCCATCACTTACCCACATACATATGCACATACGGCCCTAAACCCTAAACCTATGTATGTATGCCTGTGCGGGCTAAGCAGAGGTTGTGGGGATGCAACGTAGGGACTACACAGGGATACCCCAGCTGTATACTTCTCAAAAGCGAGGACCTAGGGTTTTTAGGGTTTAGGGGAGAAAACCCTGGTATTGAGAGAGTCCCACGCAGGACCTTGACACTGTACTGCATCAATGGTGAGGGTTTGGGGTTTTAAAGGCAAAGAGGAAGCCATAGAGTTTTGCGCTCCTCGTGACCCCGTTCGCAGGATTCGGCGTGTTCTTTCACGGTGGTGGACGTAAAATGCTAGACCTCTTCCGGACAAAGGGCACTCCAAAATAGCGCCCTAATTTTCAGACACCTCATGCCTGTCAAGCAACTCTTGCCCAAGATTGCAGCGACGAACCGCATTCTTGTCCATTGACCACCATGAGCCGCCAGGGACAGCTGGGCTTCGACAGCACGGAGGACGAGGCGGAGGAAGTCCTTATGGAGTCGACCAAACGCCCTTCCGGCAAGTCCCGTTGGTACTTGGCCGGAGCCGGGGTTTTGGCGGTGCTGGCGGTTGTGGGGTTGGCTAAAGCCGTGAGCCCGTCGGCCCTGACCTTCGGTTCCAAGCACACGATCAGCATGCAAGAGGTGCAGCATTGGGAGGACATCCCGGGCATCGACAAGGTGATCCAGAAGGCTCAGAGCCTGCGGCATGATAAGCCCCTGCGCAACTTGCAGGACCTTTTCTACGATTCCCAGCCCGAGGAGC